ATATATTTTCACACTGTGACAGAATATCACTTTGGTGTCCTTTCACACTGTGAGAGAAAAATCGCGTTTATTCAATACATAAATCACAATATTTCACTGTTTAATATGTAATAAAAAGTAGTTTACAGTGGGCATGATTGTTCAACAGAGGATGAATTCGAACTCCTCCATGGCACCTGATCCAAGCTCTGATATTTTAGGAATCTTTGATTGCTTTGTTCGTAATTTGTATTGTATTATTGGACTTTTGAGTTTGGATACTGTCCGTTATTTTCAGATTTCCCCTAATATCATTTCATAGTTTCAAGCCTCTATGTCGAACTGTTCTCGAATAATGGCCTAGAATTTTTTTGTTTGATTTCATTTGAAGAATTTTGTCAAGATAAAAATAATTGTTCAGTACATCTCATCTAATCCTCATTTTTCCATGTTCCAAAGCCTGAAGTCCTCATGTCAAAAGGTTTTCAAGTTATGGCCTAGACAATATTTCGAAGAAGAAAATTGGTGTGAACACCCTTTTTAATACCACTTTTCCGAGTTCTTAATGTCACTGGGTCTTTTAGAAATGAGCCGGACAAAGTCAAATACACCGACGATCACCATTACATTTGTATGCAGAGTTTATCGCAGCTGAAGCAAAACTAAGCCTACTTGAAGTAACCTGTCGGACAAAAAACCTGCCAAATTCAGCAGAAAACCGTTTCTTTAACATGTAGACTAAAGCTAAAATTGGTACCTAAGCACACTTATAACCCAAAGACGCTTAACACCCATGGAAGGAAAATATTAATATTAGTGGATGTAAGTGACAAGGAATATATCTGTTACAGTTAAGCTTGTGTTCTGTTATTTTCCAGTTTGTTTTGTGCTTGACAAGCCTCTCACTTTTTTTTCATGAAGGTATTTTGCCTTGCTTAGAAACCAATTTCCTTTTTAAATGATGATAGTGGTTAACTTGAAATACAATTTTTTATTAGAACATATCTTACCGATTCTTTTTTTTGTTGAACTCAGAATAGAGAAGTTGATCTAATTAGATGTTCCTCAAGAATATTGTATTTTGGTTTTTGTAAAAAAAACAAAAAACAAAACAACCCTGCTTGTAATTAGATTAAAGTTTATTTGTTATAATGCAATGAAAAACTCATGCAGTTCCTCGTGCTTCGGATAGTTAACATCGATTCAGATCTGAATGGATTGCAATCTCGATTGAATTCGTCATTTCGCAAGTTCTATGGTTGATACAATGACCTTGTCAGCAAATACAATTTATCATCAAGTCAAAGGCTGACTGACGTTTTTCATTCTAATTGTTAGGCCGTTATTTACACACTGAATTGTCGACGGATTTTTTCGTTTTTACTCGATCATGAGCACACGACGGGTGTGACCGGTCGGCAGGGGATGCTCACTCCTCCATGGCACCTGATCCCACCTCTGATGTTTTAGAGGTCCGTGTTTGCTCTGCTCCAAAATTTGAATTGTTTAATGGACTTTTGAGCTTGAATACTGTTCGTTATCTCCATACGTTTCATTTCTAAATCAATCAGAACAGAAACAACAGTTAAAATCTGATAAAATTCACTGAGAAATTAATATGATCGCCGAATGTTTAAAAATTTTTTTTTAAAAATGTATGTTTTGGGGGCTGACAAAATATTTGAATCCAACGTTTCTGTGGAACAACTGTATGTTTGTTCTGCTGCTAAGAACCGGTCACTGTAGCCTAGTATTAGGGCGTTATCTTCCTGATCGGGAGGCAGGGTTCGATTCTCATTCACCGAGCCACGTCAAACCTAAGACGTAAATATAGGCATCGACTGTTCCTTCGCCAAGCGCTCGGTACAATAGAAGCCTTTCGTAAGAGGCCTTAAAACCCTAGATCCCGGGTCACCGTAGGCTTTGCCACAATTAAGAGACATCACTGCTCAATGGCCCTGAGTAGGGAGTACATGAACACCGGTATATGGTGACGTCTCTATTCTCTATATGAGTGAATAATTCTTGAATGGGACGTAGAACAACATTCAATCTGCTATAAAGCTATAATCATGATGAGAGAAAGTGTTGCAGAATTTAGTCAATGAAAAGTAAAATTCATCTGGGCCTTCCAATAGGTTGATTACAAATAAATGGCACATTCACAACCGAAGATTCCTCCATCCTGTAAAGATCTTTTCAATTTTAATAGATATGCCTGTCATTCCTTCTGTAAGCAACCAGTGAGTATTATATATACAATGTAATCATAGGTTTTTAGTAGAGTTTATATTTATTCATTGACTTAGTTTTTTTCATTTCTCACAGAGATGTGCATACGTATGTATTGATCAGATAGACGGAATATACCATGGTCAGATTTATTTAAAATAAAATAAAAAACCAAACAAAGGCCTAACAATTGGTATGAAACATGTCAGCCAAAATACAACCCAGTGAAAGCATATATTTGCTAACAAGATCACTATAACATCCATAGAATTTACAAAATGCTGACTTTAAACGAGATTGTCGAAATTCCAGTGAAATCAACTTATCTGTCAGTAGTCTGAATCGGTTTAAAAATGATCTTACTCAGAGCATGCTATGGAGCATCTAATGAGTTGGAAAACATAAGCAAACTAACTGCAGACTACACATACATGTATGCTCCTGAACATTTTAAATAAAGTGAAGCCTTTAAAAAAATATATACCATTCCCAAAACAAAAATGCCCAAGTTTCCTAAAAACCTTCTTTAGCTCAAATTACTAGTAATTGATATGGAATTATTATCTGAAGAAACATTAATTCTATAGCTTCAAGTGCATGCTCCAAGTATGATCAATTTTTAAACCGAGGCAGACTACTGACAGATAATTGATGTTACAGGGATTTCAACAACCTCGTTTAAAGTCAGCATTATGGTTGTTATAATGAATGACCTCGTTAGCAAATATAATCTATCATCGGGTTGTATTTTGGCTGACTTGTTTCATATCAATTTTTAGGCCTTTGTTTTTTTATACTGAATTTAACCATTGAATGTTTCGTATACCTGATCAATAGATAGGGCTCACGGCGGGTGTGACCGGTCAACAGGGGATGCTTACCCCTCCTAGACACCTGATCATATCTCTGGAATTTCCAAGGGTCTGTGTTTTATGCCATTTTCACAGAATTGTATTTTTTTAATAGATTTTTTGATATCGATTTCTGTTCGTTATTTTCACCTTATTTAAATCCTTTATGATGTCATGATTTTTTCCGATACTTGAAGCTATTTCATAGTATGTAATTTGAAATCATATGAAATGTAATCAGGATACTCATTTTCATTCACTTATCAAATTTCAGAAAACTATATGCACCTCTCATATAATAGATCTTTACCTTAGCTTACATATTGCACACATGCATATAACTCAAACTGTGTCACCTTAATTGGAATAACATCTATGTGAGAAATTCATTTTACTTTCAGATTATTAAAGATTATAGGGGAATAATAGTTACCTTTACCTTTTCCCATTAATCTGAAACGAAAGATACTTTCGTTTTCAATATTTCATTTGAACGACACGATTCTACTTTCTTCTTTCGATGAGATAACAAGTTAATCGTCGACAAAGAAACCGATTTTAAAGATTATCAACATTTTGTAAAAAAAGAAAAATAAAATAAAATAATAATAATAAAAAAAAAATAATAATAAAAAAAAAAAAAAATAGAAAAATCAAAGCAAGTCGTAGTATGTCTATCCGTTTTTTTAAGGTTTAATTAAAATAATTAAAACAATTCGCTATGTTTACTTTGAAAATTATTTTATGCAAAATAAAATTATCCTTTCATTAAATGATTTTCAAAGTACACGAAATATTTCCTAAAAACTGAATTTTTTCTCAATATATGTGGTTTCCAATAGCAGACATAGCAATTTAACAATCCCTGGATAAAATGAAGTCAAATGATAGCTACTTTTTTTTTAAATTTTGAAATGGATTTCAGATGGGCAAAACTGTGATACACAACTCAGATCAGAATATAAATGTTGCTAATCATCTCTCTAGAATATGTTAACCCGTATTCTATGCATGTATATAGGATGAATATACTAAAATTCACTTGAGACTACAAATATGTACATATCCTTAACAAAGTCTTAACTATGCGATGGTCTATGGATTTGTGTTTAGACATATATAAATATCTGTCTTATTCAGATAGATTGTGCTTAAGGCTTGCGAACTATTTATTAAAAGATTTAAATTTTTTAGGGTATTAGTAAACATTGAGTATCCATATCTACCTGTACGTAATCTCTCCTTTTGTTTTAATTCTTTCTATATTTTGGAAAGTTTTGAAGCATAATTAATTTTTGGCAGGTGTTTAAGGGGACAGGTGTTTCTATAAGCATTATGAAGCCTTAATCCTCCTTCCAATTAGTATCTCAGAGATTTACAGTATTCAATTATTAATTTTGTACAAGATACGGATAACTTAAAGTAACAGTTAAGCTATAATTAGTGAATGAAAGGCATATTCTGTTCCATATCTTCCTCCAGTGGGTCCCTCCTTAACTACCTCTTTCCTTTCCTCTGTTTTATTTTACCATTCCATACCATTCTTATTCAAAAAAAAGTTTACGATGTCAAATAGTTTAAAAAGAAAATTTATGACTGTCATTTTTATTTTGAGAGTATCCACAAACACTTTTTCGGATTATGATTGCATTTTTTTTTAAGAGTATGCTTGCTTTTAACTTTCAAGAGTACATGTTTCCATAATGGAATTAATGTACACACTTAATACATATAGTTGTCAATTTCAACTGAGTTGAAGGCGCTTCTGAAGAGTGTATATCCGTCATACATTAACAAAAATAATTTCAAAAACCTCACTAACTCGCATTCTCCTCTTGCATTTACACAAATTGCTTTACAAGTGCAGAAAAAAAGTTATAAGGAAGGTTTTCTAGTACGTGGACGATGGATAAAGATCGGAGTTGCGCGCACAATCGTCTTTGAATCAAAGCCTCTTTTCAGATTACTGTTAAACAGCACGGCGGAAGGAAATATGTGTATAGTGTGTGACATTTAGACAGACATTTTCTTAGGAGGATATATAGTATATATATGTATTTTTTTTTTTACAAATAATATTCTTACAGTAGCATTATCGATTTTGTCCCCGACATCGTAATAGTTGAACGTTTTATGATGGACGATTTATAGCGCTAGCAGCTTAACAATTATCGAGTTAGATTACACAGGTAAGAGTTCTCCTACAACTTTTAAGTTTTTCTTGTTTTCATTTCAGTTTGATGTGAATCAGAATGTTAAATTTCACATATCTTTTACAATATTCCATTTTTAGCATGCTTCATGATTGTTTGAATTATTAAACCAGATTTGCTTACAATGCTTCTCGCATTTAAAGAACACATTGTAAACGCAGCTGTTCTTGCATGTAATCCTGTGTATTTAATTATCTAAAATCCCCTGTATTAATCTCTCAATCACTGCAGAAAATATAATTACCACTGTGTACTGTTAATGGGTTACAATAACATGCTCGTTAAGCTTGAATTTGCGTTTTCTGGTGGCATTTGAAGAACTAAGATATGAAATCTAGAGTAAAAACAAAACAGGTCATTCCTTCTGTAAAGAAATTTCATTCAGATAATCGTCAAGAAAATTTTACATTTAAGATAAACTCGGAATTGTCTTTTTAAATATCTTGATAGACTTCCATAGCAAATCGAATTGGACAAACTGAAATGTTAAAATTTAAGATAACCGTTTTTTTTTAGTTGAGTACATGTATTTTTGCTCACAATATTCGAATGAAGAGGAAAGCGTCTCAATGACAGTGATTGTTTATATTTTAGATCCAATGAACTTCAATTTGAATATATTGTAAATGTATTCTGATAAAATGTATCAAACAAGATAGCCACGTTTTAGTTGAAAAGAAGCAATGGCTATTTAAAAAAAAATTAATAAAATGCCCAAATTCTTTGATCCAGAGATCGATTTTACTGAAAATTGGGCTGGTATTTGATTTCCTCTCGTTCTCTGATGTTCTCCCTCCGATTCTCATTGCTATTATTCCTCTGTCCCCCAACATCATTTCTCCTTGTCTTGTACCCCTTTTAAAGCCAGTATAAATACCCTTATTTCATTTTCCCACCTCAGGGTAACCAAATCATAAACCGCTCTGGCTTGTCAATGATATTTTTACGACATACCGCAGTAATGATAACGCGACACTTACATGCTATTGACATTGTTTGTAACAAGTGGTGAATTAATTCCGCCCTCTTAGTGTGGTTTTATTCAAGCATTACTCAAACACTTTTGTCAGGTTTCTTTTTATAATGATTACTGATAGAAACAGACTGTGCATTTGCATTTTTATGGAAAATGTATATGGGAGTTCATAGTGATATAAATCCAACCGGGGAGTGCAGTTTTCATAGAGGAAGGAAACATAAGTATGCAAATATATTCTGATACTAGTAATCTGGAATGTTACTAAGAACTACAAAAAACTTAAGTTTAATTCGATCATATCAGAGTGAAAGTCAAGCATCACTGTACTAAATAATTTTTATTGCTGTATTCTTCTAATGTAAGCATCTATGGACTGTTCATATTCACCAAATACTCGTAATAATTATAAGAAGGAGACATAAACCTACATTTTAAAATCCCTGCTGTCATTATCTACAATTCCTTAAGGCATTTGTTATAATTAAATTCAAGGTATTTCTTAATGTGACACTTTTACTTTTGTGAAATGTTCTCGTCAAAAAAACAAAAAAAAAAAAAAAAAACAAAAACAAAAAAAAAAACAAAAAAAAAAAAAAAAAAAACACACACAATAACCTTCATGTATTTCCATTTTCGAAACAGGTCATGTGCAGAATCGGTTATCTAGAGATATGCTTATTTCATTGTAAATGAGTTCAATATTTCTTTCAATGCATAAAATTAATCTTTTAAATCTTAAGTACAGTTACTAATTAAACAGTCTGCCAGAAGTTTTCAAAACATAAGCTGGAACGCAAATGTTTATTACATGGTTCTGACTGTTTTTATATCAAGTAAGTTGCGTTTTTGGGTAACTAGTAATCATGATTAAATTAACCAATTAAATATAAGTCACATATTTTGTAAATTTCTGTATCTCATAGATTGTTCGGTTATCATCGAGTGCCGAGCGAAATTTTCGCTCTGGATACGTTTGTTAATTTAGAATACATGTTCAGTCTCAGTAATTTAAATTCCCCGAGATTACACTTCATAAGGTAATTATGCTACATAAAACAGGCCGACACTGTAGTACAACACAAAGAACAAAGGTTATAATACTCAAATAAATACAAAACTGAGCTTCTCCACATAAAACGGGAACTAAGCAAAGAAGAACCAAAAATGACTAATTTTGAAGACTCTGGAAGATAGTATGAAGTAGCACTAAATAACTGAAGTGTTAGGTTCGACGATATCCTATGCATTTATACCGACAGATGGAGACATGTTAAAGTTAAGACATGGAGACTGTAAGACAGATACTAGAATGCACTTACTTTTAGACCGATAGGTACTTGATGCTAAAAAGATAGACGATGAAAACTAAAATGATTTGAATGCGTGGATGAGGAAAAGAAGTGCATGTCTACTCCAAACTAGATAAAATCAGCGATGAACACTAGATTCTCGCAAATATTACCACCATTTGGGAAACAAAATTCACAGAACTATTAAATGCATATTATATATATATATATATATATATATATATATATATATATATATATATATATATATATATATATATATATATATATAATGTTATTCATTTTGTAACTGTTTGAAGAGCCAATAAAAGGCAGAAAGCGCTTACAGTTAAGATAATTATTCAAGTCTTGTGAATCTTGATTTTTTTCATTGGGTATATCAATATTTTACTGTACCAAAAATTGGATTTTTCTTAAACTATATATGAAATATGGAGATAACGAACAGTATTCAAGCTCAAAGTCCATTAAAAAAATGCAAATCGGGAGCAGAGCAAACAAGGACCTCCAAAAACATCAGAGGTGGGATCAGGTGCCATGGAGGAGTGAGCATCCCTTGCCAACCGGTCACACCCACCGTGTGCTCCTTGTCCTGATCGGGAAATAACGGAAAAATCCGTTGAACATTAAGTGTGTAAATAATGGCCTAACAATTAGTATGAAAAACGTCAGTCAGCATTTGACTTAATGATAAATTGTATTTGCTGACAAGGTCATTGTATCGACCATAGAACTTACGAAATGATGACTGTAAACGAAATTGTTGATATTTTTGTTTCATCAACTTGTTTATCAATAACTAACATCGTTTTAGAAATTGTTCATACGCAGGGCATGCTCTTGTGTATCGAATCAACTAAGAGATATATTCACCCCATATGCAGGTGATGGTGTATATTGCTGCATAAGTAAAGGAAGTTGACGACTGAAAAGTTAAATCATCACGTTTATCATAAAGCTTTGTTGATAGATTACCATTAACGTCTTTTTCTAGTAAAATATCCAGATATGAAACAGATGTGTCAGACTCTGTGGTATCTTTTATTTCAAGCTCACTGGGATATATCGTGTCGACATATGAATGAAAAAAACTATTGTTAATTGATAATACGTCGTCGATATATTATCTAAATGTGGAGTTGAAGGCCACAACAAGAGATTTCTTTTTCTCATGTATAAGATTTTGAATAAATTGTGCTTCATATATATATATATATATATATATATATATATATATATATATATATATATATATATATATATATATATATATATATATATATATATATATATATATATATATATATAAAGATAACAAACAGCAATCAAGCTCAGAAGTCCAAAACAAGAAAACTTTGGGGTAGATGAAATACGGACCTCTAAAAACATCAGAGTTGGGATCAGGTGCCATTGGCAGTGAATACCCCCTGTTGACCGGTCACAACCACCGTGTGCTCCTTTTTATGATCGGGCAAACGGAAAATCCGTAGCCAATTAAGTATGAAAATAATGGCCTAGCAATTTGTATGAATAACGTTAGTCAACATTCGACTTAAAAATAAATTGTATTTGCTGACGAGGTCATTGTATTACCATAGAATTTGCGAAATGTTGACTTTAAACGAGACTGTTATTTCTTCAACTTATTTGTCAATAGTTTGCCTCGTTTAAAATATTGTTCGTAGTAAAATATCCAAATATGAAACAGGCATGTGTCAGACTCTGTGGTATCTTTGATTTCGAGTTCAACGTAATATATCGAATCAACGAATCGAATCGTTGATATATCTAAATGTTGAATTGAAGACCACAGCAAGAGACTTTTTCTTTTCATGTGGAACATTTTGAGTAGATTCTGCCTCGTATGAATACAAAAATAGGTCTGTAATAACCTATAAAGTGAATTTCGCTGTGCTTGTGCTTTATATTGTGCTTTGTATATATATAAAATTCACATATAACTTATAATTTAAAAAAATAAACTTTAAAAAAACTACATTTTACTACGTAACTCAATAGTTCTTTTGTCATAAAACGGTCATCTCAATACGTTCTAAATTTAAGTGGGTTTTGATTGAAATTCTCTCCAGAGTTTTAAATAAAGCCCTTCGGTTATGAGAAACAGTTAATAAGACGGAGAATATTACATGAGAGCTACTTCCTGGGTCCTCAATACTGACGTACTTTACTGTGTCTCATCTGATATAAGATGTGTATAATAACTCTCTCTTTCTACAGTTATTTACAGTATATATATTAAAATGTGGCGTACTTTAGCGTCTCGTTGAATCTATAAATAAAGAAGCTTATGAATCTTTCTTCCCAGAAATAAATTTCAACCATGTCTGCAGACAAAAAATCCAAACGGTTATTGGCAGAAGTTACCGAGGATCTGACTCAGGAACAAATAGAAGGTTAGTAACTGGTCTCTTCTGTGAGTGAATATCTTATTTAATAAAACGCGGAAAAAAATCTAATCCTTTTGTCAAACTTATTGTTTATACATAATTTTTTTTAACATAAGGGTAAAATCAAAAGGAGATAGATAGCGTCGTTTCGATGTGAGTTTAAGATGCATACAGGAATCGGTGTCTTTAAGAATAATTAAAACTCTTCATACAGAAGAAAAGGCGTATAAAAACAATAATTTGCTTCTGTCAAAATATAAAAGACTAAGGAAAAACAAGTGCCATCGATTGAAATAGAAATATTCGTTTTTCTTTATCATAAGACAGGAACGTGTTAGTTCATGGCACTTTTTATTCAGAGAATTTCTTTCAAGAAATTTGACACCAACTTAAGGATGTTTCCCTTTCTACCCACATAACTCTTTATCATAAATTGATACATGTATTTATTAAGACTTCATTTCATTGTTAATCATAGCCCAGGTAGATTCGTAATAAAGAACCAGGTTTCCACCTCAGTTCATCAGTTACTAGTTACATATACTATAGAAATACAAACACAGGGTTGCGTCGATATTAATTAAAATCCTGTAAAAATATTTTGTTCTTTTGTTGTATATTTGATAATACATCACATTTCTGTATGGACTTATTATATTGATGGTATGCTTATCTTAGGGTAGGTTTCATGTAATTTACATAGTAGTTAAAAGGGAGTATGTGATAGTACACACACATTTCTAAATGTATTCATTCGTTTTTACTTCTTCATTAATTTTTTTTTGTTTAATTGAATCTGAAATATTGTTTTACATTAAGTTTTACTGCGCAAGTGGATTGAGTTGACAGAGTATTCTTTTCTTGATTAATTTCATTGTCTCTTTGTTTGGCCTTTTCTGTTTTTAGGGTTCCATCCAATTTCTATCATCTACATCTTATGGTCAGTGCTATTTATGAAGTAATGAAATAAACAAATATAAAATGAAAACTCGTTCTCCATTATCGGTTACTTACTCCTCCATGGCACCTGATCACACCTCTGATGTTTTTAGAGTTCCGTGTTTGTTCTGCTCAATATTTGTATTGTTTCATTGGACTTCTGAGCATGACTACTGTTCGTTATCCTCATATTTGACTAATATCTAACATATATACTTCTAGTTGCCATAGAGATTAATTCATCTGGATTATTAGAAATGAGGGATCACTGACTCTTTGTGTAGGTAGAAAAGCAATAATAAATCAAGGGAGTGGTCTATTCAAAAGAGAAAACATATGAACAAAGGTAATCCGAGTGTATATCAAAGCAAGTTATCATTACACGATTTTCACACCAGTGCAATGGGTATGGTTTTAAATATAGTCAGGACACAATATTTCTTTCATGCTTTTGTAAAAGATCTGGCAGTTATTATAATTTTTATTCAGAAATAAGAAAAGTATAAACAGATTGGTAAGATCAAAGATAACATGCAAAAAATCCTGCTTAGGGTGATTCTTAAGGGGGACCAACCCTTTGATAAGAGATATAACTTTCCAAGTACAAAATACGAATAATACTCATAGCTTTCTTCATCAGAGTTTCATTATCGAGATCTTTGAGTAGTCAATTCGATCAATTCTGACATATGATGGAAACATTACCTTTTATTTCCTGTGCATATTCTTTTCAAATTGTTTTATTATATTTAGCAAAAACATTTAGATCCAGTTTTAAAAGCCTTATAAATCGAATAAGTTCTATCTTCTTAAGGACCAATTTAGAAATGGTTTAATGTTCAAGTACCAAATATAGAATTTTTATTAGTATTACATTTTTTCCATTAAAAAAAAATTATAAGAAAGATAACTCTTGCTAACAGATTTTTTTTCTTACAACCACATACTACATTATGATATTCTGACTTAGAAAACCGCTCTTTGTTATGTTTTCTAGTATGATTTTAATAAGTATGATACTAATTATTTTCATATATACCTCATATTTTTAATTTTATGTTGTGATAATAAATTGTTACTCTTTCTATTCTCTGTCTTAAAATTTCTTCATATCATGATCTGACATAAAAATCATTTCTGAAAAAATAAGCAGCGCTTCATACCTCATACTATTTTCCATTTGAAGCTGATGCTTTTGCTCTTGATGAAAATCAATGTTAAAAAAATGTGAAATTTAGAGCAGAGGGTCATTAGTCCTTAAATGTCAGCCCAGAGTTTCGATGTTTAATGTAGAAATAGTCGTTCAGGATTATGATGTTTACTACTAACTTCATTTTTGTTGAATTGTTGGACCCATTCATTTGCTGTAATGTGCAAATCTAGAGTGATGAATAGCAATAATATAATAAACTGTTACAGCTATATCTTTTTATAAATTCATTTAGCATTTTAATTTATTTCATATTTAGCATCTATTTTGTGTGTATTAGTGGTGCATCTTTTCAATATAAAACATATGACCTATATTATTGAATGAAAAAGGTAAAACATTCAAATGTGCAGTAAGTTTACGCATGTACTAGAATTTTTCAAATGGCATTATTTTTATAAGAGTCCTTCATCTCTGATAATTTTGAAATATTTCCTATTTTTTCTACTGTTTCAGAGTTCAAGAAAGCATTTTCGTCCATTGATCTTAATAAAGACGGTAAAATATCGAAGAAAGAACTGGTAGAGGCTGCAAAATTGTTGGGTATTAATATTACACTAGAGGAATCGAAAAAATTGATCGAAAGTGTAGATCTGAATAGTAAGTAGCTTGCTGCATTTAAACCCTAGTAAACATGTAATGACGTTGCGCACGGTGTTGGTACACATTGACGTTACGTCAAAATAACGTTATTGAAGTCATAACGTTCTTACAACGTTTTAAACGTTAATTGAAAATTTTAGTTGTTTAATGTGAATTCTATTTATTATTTTTTTTTAAAATCTAAATAAAATAACAGAGCACAAACTTTTCAATTTTTGAATCTTCGTTGAAAATATTAAGATGTACACTAAAAATCTTATAATCTTATAAATATTTAATAAAATGTCAGATTTTTATTATGAAATTGTCACAGGCATACATATCCCCATTCATATTCTTGATTCCTCTTTCTATTTCTTTTTTCTCACTTTGTACGCTCTGTCTTGCAAAGAGAAAAACACATCAAGTAGCTTTCTCTTTCAACCGTTTCTCCTTCATTTTTTTTTCCATTAGATCATTTCAAGTTTTCTATTTCTATCAAGCCCCGCATGCGCCTTGGTTTCTGACAACCAAGATCAGAGAAAAGCACAGAAAATCGGTTAATGCGCGGTTCCAGGAAATTTTGCGAGGGGGGGGTCCAACCAATAAAAAAATATGACACTCGAAGTTTTTGACAAGCAAAAAAAAATATAACTGAAAATCCCAGGGGGGAGGGGGATCCGGAACCCCCTTCCCGACTTCCCCCGCCTGCCTTTTTTATTGAAACTTTCTTTCTATATTTTTCTAATATGTTAAATCAGGTAATGTACCTAGCATTTACAACCTTGATTTTGCGAAGGAATATATTTTTCTATGATAGAGAAAATATGTCTTTCTACGAGAAAAATGGAATTATGAAATCAAAACATATGAATGATGTAATTTTTATGACAACCGCTGTACAAAGTAGGATTTCCCCCATAACCAGCCCTCCACCCCACCCCGGAATCTATACTCAGGAATCTTACACTAGAGCTAATTTTCCTCTCTTTCTCTCTCAGAGTAGGTTTTCCCCTGTTTTATCAATGCTTAAATCATATCGACATTGCTAAAGTTTATATGAAAGTCAACTGGTTTTTTAATAGAAATATGAGTGTTTTCGCTCAAAAATTTTTCAAAGGATCACTTCTTGGTAAATATATACGTTGACTTATATGGCCGATATTGGTTTCAGTCTTTAGAGAAAGCTTATCGATATCCGTTCCCTGACTTTAGGCCACATGCGTGTAGTTTCTTGTTTCTCATGTATCGTTTTAGTTCTAGTCAACTGTCTTCATATGACCCTACATCGATATTTACAGAAACATCCTTTATACGAGAGTCCTTACTTGATGCCTGGGTAATGGCAACGGGACATAAAACTTTAACTGACCTTACCACATTCTTTTCTAATCTGTAAACCTCCCCCAGCATTTTGACATAACATGTCGCCAATGCACACAATTTTCCCGAGGAATGAATTGCATCTACTCTGCATAGCGCAGTATCTCTCCCAGTGGCACAACAGTACTATTACCCAGAGATATTCTTGAAAGACAAACACAGCAATATTTGCTCGGCATGATTTTTTTTCCGTGACACCTGCAGTATCGAGTAACAAAGTGAATGATTCGTGTCCTCGAACAAAGTGTGCTTACACTGAGGTATAGTTCCGGTTGACTGCGTTTAGTTAAAGAGAATTTATGATCTGCATTTCCATAAATGTCTTTTATATCAACAGCAAACATATACATTTAACGAAGAAAATAGAAGTAAAATGAAAAAGCCTGTATGAAAAATTAAATTCGTGTTTATACAGGTGAAAAATTTGAAAAAAAAAAAAAAAAAGTGTGCCAACAGGTGGATTCGAACCAGGACGCTAAAATTGTCCATGGTGAAAGTCTACGGTCTGTCTCTCTGAGCTATACTAACTATGAGAACATACGTCTGACATAAATATAATCCAGTATGATAGAAATAGGTTTTCGCACTTTTTGTAGGTTTTTTACGAATTTCGACCCTAGGGCAGGGGTGTCCCTAAAAAAACCTTGTTTTAAATCATTCTTCAGATCAAAATCTATCAAAATTTCATAATTTAAATTAGGGGTAGGCCTGCCCTGAAGGACTTCTATTCCAAAATTTACGCAAAAATTAGTGCTTTAACGGATAATATACTGTCTTGACCAACTTTGTACGTTAATTTCAAAGTTGCAAATAAAAAAAAAATAGGTTCAAAATGCAAATTTGAAAAATTTAGACAAATTTACGATAGAAAACAACTAAAGAACATTGATTTTTAAATGTGACTTTTTCAGGAAATTGTTCTCTCCTACAGGTCAAATCTTTTGTTATAACGAAAACATCCTTTAGTATGAAATTTTAGTAGTTAAAAAAATACAATACAAGAAGCACTGCTCTTGCAAGCTGTAGGATAGGTATGACTCCTCGACCACAGAGGTGTAATACTGGATAGCTATTTTAAACCCCAGAGACTTGGCGAGACACTTAATCAATATTATGCACATGTAGTTTTATGAAATATAACTGGAGAAAAAAAATCCATTAAAAATAAAATTCCTCGTTTTTTTTAAAATTAAATGTTGACACAACTAGACTTTTTTTTATTACAATTTTTGTGAAGTTTCATTAAGATTGTCTACTGCGAGAGCACCTGTGAAAAAATTACAGAAAGTACATTTGTAACCATATGTCGCCCCCTCCCCCTCATATATAAGTACTGGCATGATATTTTATAGCAGAAGGGGTAAATTGGCTCTTCAGGGAATCGCACTTTATAACTGTTACACAGAGTAGGGATTTCCCCGGAAAATTGAATGTGGTGTGAGATTTCTGATGATGGGGAAATTATACTCAAGAGCCAGTTTTCCGAAAAAGACTTTAGAGGGGAAAGACCGGTATAAAGTTCTTGTTTTAATTTTGGGCTTTTGTACTGATATGTTTTTTGAATCGGTAGATAGGTTCTAGAATTATAGGAGGTCGCTAAACGGAAAAAAAAAATTAAATGGCCTTATACTGAATTAAACTTTTCTTGTTTTTTTTTTTTTCTTCACCCCAAGTAGTTAAGCTCTCTTTATAAATGGGGGGGGGGTACTGACATGCAAAAAAGAAGGGATGGGGATGTTTCGCTATTAAAAACCCTACTAAATTGAAAAAAAAAACTAGCCAGAAAAAATAAAATTCAGAAACCCTTTCTTTTACTTTTTCGTGGAGGGGGGGGGGCTCTCATTCTCATTTAGCAAAGAGAGAGAGAGAGAGAGAGAGAGAGAACAACGTGATATGTTTAGATATTGCTGCAGCAAAATAAAAAGGGGGTATCGGCCTTTGAATGAAAATTTTCAGAATATTTAAAACAAAAGATTGTTCTAAAATGGTACTCCGGACCTGCAGAAAATTGGGAAAAAAAGAGCACGGCGATACAATTTGACGCTCCCGACGTCATTCGTATATATACATGTAGTGTATAAAATGACATTTTTGTACCTGTGACAAAATGGCTACATCTATATTAATGCTTGCGTTTATTTCATGTAGATGATAACCGTAAAAATTATGTTTTTATCTAATACAGTATGAAATGTTCTTTCAAGATACAGTAAATGATTGGTATATATATGACATTAATTTATGTATATTTGATATGTAACTGAGACATATTAAGTAATAGTACAGCGACTCGTACGTGCATAACAAAATGGCTACACTTAACAAAGCCTTACTAATATTAACGTATCGGCAGTTATATAGCATGTATCAACATAACTAATTTTAGAAACATATGTACTTAAAGATTATTCATCAAAATTTATCTTTGTGTGGCATTTATGTCTAGTTACACATCGCCATGCGGGCTAATGTCAACTTCAGGAAACGATTTTTTCCTGTTGGACATATTACTTACGCACTGTAGATACAGCCCAAACTCGTGAAATTGAGAAAATGATGCTAAAAATTCAACAATATCACAAAGAATGCATACATATTATTGTATTTCCTAAATTTTATTTAATTTAGAGGATTGGAAGTGGATCTTTTTATATCTTGTAGTTGCGCGAACAATAATTTATGTAACGTTGGACACGGGAATTTCGCCGTAATAACCAATATTTAATAAAGCCATATCATACCTAAGATATTTTTATATTATTAAAAAGAGAGTTTTTAGAATAATTTATTACCTTGGATAAAATAATTAATTTCATTTTTAATTTCTAGTATCTTTATCATCTTGAAAACGCCAGTTTCTTTATGACATCTAAAGAGTCAGATTTTATAGTACCAACACCGTGCGCAACGTCAATATTGAGCCATAAGTATATAATTCTACTTTTCCTTTCATGAAAATACAAATGCAGATATAGAAATGTAATAATAAAGAAATATAAAGAGTTAAAAAAAGCCTACGTAAACCAAGATATGATACTGTACTGACATCTTCAATGCTCTTCATTTGATGTTTACACGCTGACGGCATCCATTATAGGATCAAGTTTAGAACTGTGTTAGCAAAACTGGGAAATTACTCTAAATTTATTTAGACTATGAACTACCATTTTTCACTACCATAAATTTGCTTATTTTTGAGGTTACTCTCGGAAGAAACACCACAATGAAATTGCATTGACTTACATTTTCTGTGATATAATTTCAACAACGCTTTTTCAATTAGCTAAACTTCGGCTTTTATTTCAGAAGATGGAAATATAGGATTTGAAGAATATGTCCTACTCATGAAAGACACATTTCTACAAATAGAACTTAACTGTGAACGATTCAGAGCATCATTTATGCTGATAGACAAGAATAACGATGGTGTGATTTCCTTCGACGAACTTGTACGAGCTTTAGCATTTAAAAAAGAGCATCATGATCTAAATAAAGTACGCGAAATCTTTAGTGCTGCAGACACGGATGGAGACGGAACTATTAATTTTAAAGGTAAAATGTTAGCTGTATTGCTTACTTTAAATATTTAGAGACTGTGGGGTCAAACAATTTTGTTTTGTTTCTATATTCTATTTAGCATACGTATCCATAGTATGTGAATGGACTTTATACTACTGAGAATGTATATAAGGAAGAGTTATATATATATATATATATATATATATATATATATATATATATATATATATATATATATATATATATATATATATATATATATATATATATATATATCACTCAATATGACAGGAAGACAAAAAAAAAATAAAATAAAAGAGGAAGCAAAATATCTAAGATCTATAATTTAAAGCAAATCACTCTTGCAGTTAAGCTTAAAGACTAGGGTTCTTTCTTATGATACTGCTAATGTGAGAGATATTTATGTTTTCTATTCACAACTAAATTTCTTTAATTTTGAATTATTTATATTCATATAAAAGAAAATTTCCAGTTTTCAAATATCATTTCACTAGCCCTTTCTTCTTGATTTACATACATCCATCTTCAGCTTTACATCCAGTTGAACTGTTCAAATGTATGTCCATTTCTTTTTCAGAATTTGCTACATCATCTTTACCAAGTGTTGTATTTGGAGAATAGTTATGGATTAATTATCTTAGTTAAATTGTGATAAAAACTATGAAGACTGGAGAAGTTAAAACTCTGTGCAGGAAAGAGGAATTTTTGATGTTGTCTTTGAATATTTCTGTTACATTTTGTAAATTGTTTGCATGTGTTCAGCAGAATTCGTTCGAACAAATAAGTACAGTTTTTTTTTATTTATAATTTGTTCATCAGACATTTTGTGATATTTGATGCTTGATATGTGAATCTTTACTTTGAACAGAAATCCATTCCAATATACCTTTTTCATTGCTATCATTATTATTCAAATCATCGAAATTGAATTAGAGATAACAGAAATCTTTGATACAAATTCTAGAATGATTTGTTCCCGTCTTTGGACATGAAGGGATTCAATAAAACTGAAATTTTTCATGAGTCAATGAGAGATAACCCTTGATATTTATTGTCCCTCATATTAAATTGCGCTTTACTAACACTTTTGATTTTCCAAAAGAAATCGAACTCATAATTAAGTCCACACAATTCAGCCTACCTTGTAAGGGAAAATTGAACTGAAATGGCCTTTTTACTTGACAATAGTATAAAGGAATGAGTCAATTATCCTTGTGATACTAGTAGTTATATGTTAGACATATCAAACAAAACACAACAGAACGATTCGTTGTATTTGCTAACAAGATCATTATAACGACCAAAGAATTTGCGAAATAGGGACCTGAAACAGAGTTGCTGAAATCCCTGTAACCTAATCTTATTTGTCAATAGCATATTTCTGTTTAAAAGGTTTAAGTCAATGAACAGAGATCAATCTTAAAAATATCAGAATTAATAATTAAATTTTTTAAAACGGGTCATAAAAACGGACCCCCTGGAAATTCAAGAGGTTAGATCAGGTGCCCAGGAGGAGTTCGCACCCCCTGTTGACCGAATCAGTTGGATGACATAATCACCATATGCAGGTGGTGGTGGAATATTATTACATAAATAAAGAAACCTTAACGATGGAAGAGATGATGTTATCCCGTCTGTTTTACTGTTTATTTTTTAGTTGACCAGGATTCTTCATGGGCATTTTAACTTGGTGGCACCAGCCACAGTTAAATCCCTTAGCGCTACAGTTAATAAAAATCAGCGCCATAGTTCCGCCACAGTTAAAATATTGGCGCGCTGTAAAATCGTCGTCGTCAGTAATATAAATATATTAATTTATAATTCAAATGAACCTCCAAATTATGTACTGTTTTTCAGTTTCTAATGCTAAACCGTTAATTCTCTAATTAGGGCCCATTGTTTGGTTAGCACAATCAATTTTTCGCTGCACACATGAATGAAAAGAGACAAGCCATTAATTAATACTTCACGATAATTACAAATGAAATTTTTGATATCAATTAATTCAAGCTTTAATATTAATAGTTCTACAGATAACCACGTCACTAAAATTGCAATGGCTATGCGAGTCAAACATCGTACATGTATTGTTATCATGCAAATTTGCAATGATGAAAAATCAACAATACGAGTAGATCTACCAAAATATAGGTCGCCCGCGTGGCACAGTGGTTAGAGCGTTCGCTCTAGAGTCGCGGAGTAAGGAGTTGATCCTTACGTACCAGGTTCGAATCCCACTGTGGGACGTGGACACCGGTCCTTCGGATGAGACCGTATAAACAGAGGTCCCGTGTCGCAGTAGGTGCTGGCACGAAAAAGATCCCTCACTGCTCAAAGGCCCTAAGTTCCGAGTATCGGTCAAAATTTGTAGCTCTCCACCGGCAAGTGGTGGCGTCTCCATATGAGTGAAAAATTCTCGAGAGGGACGTTAAACAATAAACAAACAAACAAACAAAAACCAAAATATAATTTTATGACTCTAAACTGATTAAAGATTTTTTTATTCACAAGTTTTAAAGATACCTCAGTCTTCAGATCAATAATTGTAAATATATATAGATGGAAGGGTGACCTACAGATACCAGAATTTTTACTGTCCTTTAATGAACACTGTAGGTGTATAATTTACCTTTATGTTATTACTGGTACTATTATTTTCATATTCTATAAGGTAATATTTGTTCATTTATTAGCACGTATGTGTTGGGGGTGTCTTTTTCACAGTATACATATATTTTGGAAACATGCTAATTTTTGTTTTACACAAAGCTTAATCGATATCGATTAATTGTTTTAGTAGTAAATTTATCAATCAATTTGCCCAATAATTAATGCCATTTGTGTATTAAACTTTAATAATTGAATCACCGAGGTTGTGTGTTTTCAATTTATTTCGTGGTTCCTTCGCGGATATAAGCATTTCGCGTAAATCTTGCGCCAAAGTTACATTTGAAATGATGGAGAACCCTGGTTGGCCATTTTCGTCTTAAGCCATTTATACATCCAAATATGAAACATACCCTGCGGTAACTTTTATTTTGAGTTCACTGGGTTATATCGAGTCGGCATATGAAAAAAGTAACTACTTTATTGTTAATTGATAACACGTTCTCCCTAATTTGTGATTTGATCGATTATTTTTATCGAACAAGTTGTGTGTTTCTATTCCCGAGCCTTATTGATAAATTGTCTTCGATGTATCTAAATAAAGAGTTGACAGTCACAGCAAGGATTTTCCTCTCATGTAGAAGTTTTTGAATTCTGCTTCATAGAAAAATAAAACAGGTCTTTTAATAAAGGAGCGCCTTTTGTGCCCTTTGGAATTTCCAAAAGATTGCTAGGAGACCTGGCCTCAAATTCTATACAGATATTGACAATGAGGAACTCCAGCATCTGTTTTATATCGGCTTCAGAGAACTTGTTTGTATAATAAGAAATGTGAAGATAACGAATAATGATCATTCTCAAAAGTCTATTAAAACAATTCAAATTATGAGCGAGGCCAACACAGACATCTGAAAACATAGTACGGATCATGTGCCGTGGAGGAGGAAGCATCCACTGTCGACTGATCACACACCGCCATGTATTTCCTTGACATGATCGGGTGAACAGAAATCCGTAGACATTTCAGTATGAAATTATGGCTTATGTATGAAAGACGTCAGTCAACAATCAACGTAACGATAGATTGATTAGCAAACAAGGTCGTTGTACAGACCTCATAATTTGCAAAATATTGACTTTAAATGAGATTTCCTTGTATCATCAACTTATTTGTAACTTGCCTATATCGTTTTATAAATTTTGCGTACGTGGAACATGCTCTTGCATATGTTAAAGGTAAAGATAACGAACAGTGATCGATCTAAAAAAGAATCCACATACAGTACAAATATGTGAAGAGGGCATAAAACACGGACCCCTTGAAATTCCATAGTTAGGATCAGGTGCCTAGGAGGAGTAAGCATCCCCTGTTGACCTGTTACACCCGCTGTGAGCCCCATGTATTGATCAGGTAGACGGAACTATCCGTAGTCAATTTAGTACAAAAAAATAAGGCTTAACAATTAGTATGAAACAAGTTAGCCAAAATACGAACCAATGATAGGTTATATTTGCTAACAAGGTCATTATAACGACTATAAAATTTACGAAATGCTGACTTTAAACGAGGCTGTCGAAATCCCTGTAATATCAATTTATCAGTGAGCCTGCCATATCAACTGATGACATAAACTCATTTAGCAGGAGATGATGGCATATTGCTACAATGTACATAAATAAGGAAGGTGGTCGATAGAAAAATTCAAGTCTATACGTTTTTCATAAGGTTTGGTTATCAGTTTGCCTTTAGTATCTTTTCACAAAAAAAAAAAAAAAAAAAAAAAAAAAAAAAAAAATGACGACATAACCACAGAAAAAGTCAATTTTTACTCAAGTTGTCAACAAAATTCATTTCAAAAAATAGGTTGTTATCAATTTTGATTGATTGCTTAGGATAAAATTTAAAAAGATATGGGAATGCTTGTGTGAAGTGTAGAAAATTTTATACGTTTTGATGCTATAAATTTAGACAAAATTTTGTGATTTCATTTTTTTCTTAAAGTTCCTTTGAGTTTTTATGAATCCACATCTGATAAATACAACTTCTGGAATATGATGCTAGACAGTACTCATGAATTTTTTCCTTCACTGATATTATACTAGTAATTTTTGCGAGGAATAAAGAAAGAGGCTTGGTAGAATTTTAACTAGAACCCTCTGTATATCTTTTTGGGGGTATAGTAGTTCAAATTGGATTTGGTTTATAGGAAAATATTTAAAACTAACACGATTTTGAAGAATATTTTCTTTATAAAAGGAACTATGAGTATAAGTTGGAATACTAATTGTAGAATTAAATCCATGCTCATCTAAAATGCAATTGTAATGATGAATTTTAAAAACTAAGATTATGTTGTTACCTGCTTTGTAAGCTGAGACCAGTACCCAGTAACCATTAATCGGGTAATCTATCTAATTCTTCTTTCACTTCTGAATTACTGAAGATAGAAGGATAGATGGTTTTTGTATTGCTCTTCGACCGTTAACACGATATTTCAACATCAACTTAATATTTTTAACCCATTCTGACAAAGTAAAAAGGATTTGACCCATCGTCTGGCATAATCTTCGAATGGTTTTTGGCAAAATAATTTTGTGGATGACCAATGTGAAGAAGTAAAAATTTCTGAGTTCCATTTTTATTGGGGAAGCAGTTGTTTGTGATGTCAGAGAGCCTGCTCTTTAATTTATCGTGAAGACAAATTAAAAACACAAGGTATTTAAATCCGACCCGTTAAACATGCAGTATATGTTCCCACACTGCATGCATCGATATGATAAGAATTTAATTGCAGATTATCTTCGGTATCTTTGGTATCTTATACAAAGAGACGACAAAAAGAATTAAAGCTTCATTTAACGGCCATGAACTGTAACATGCATCCTATTTCCGTTGACGTCAATTAAATGTTAAACATAAACAAGACAGATGATTGCCATGTGCCCTGTATGTCCAAATGATTGAATTATTCAAAACTTCTTCCCAAAACTTCAGAATATTCAATCTATTTAAGACTGTAACTAGTAGTATAAGGTGTGTATTAACCAATCTTTATTTACCGAAAGGACGTTTAATACAAGTTGCGTGTAGAATTTTGATGGTGTCATTTAAATCAACTAGTGAATTTAAAGTTTCAAAATTGACACCACCATGGGCATGGTTATAAAAGCAACAAAAGACAAGGGCCATTCCATTTTAGCTCACCTCAGCCGGAGGCTTAAGTGAGCTTTTCTGATCAAAAACAGTCTGTTGTCTAGCTGTAGTTATCGTTGATGTTGTCACAAACTTTTCACATTTTCATCTTCTCCAGAACCACCGAGCCAATTTCAACAAAACTTGCCAAAAAGCTTCCTTCTGTAAGGGGGATTCACATTTGTTCAAAACAAGGGTCAGGCCTTCTTTCAAGGGGAGATAATTAAAAAATAGTAAAAATTGATATGGCATCTTTCAAAAATCTTTTTCTCCAGGACCACTGGGCCAGAGAGGTATATCTTATGTTTAAGCTTCATTACACATAGCGTAAATTTGAGTTTGTTCAAATAATAACCCATCAAGGATAGGATGGGGCCACCATTTGCTATCAAAGTTGTACATGGAAACTTTTAGGAAAAACGCTTTTAAAAATCTCCTTCTCATGATATCTTGGGCTAGGAAAGTTGAAAGATATGTAAAACATTAATTACATTTTATATTAAGTCTGTTCGAATCATAACCCCTTATTATCATTATTAAGAACAGTAAGCATGATTAATAATATTGATATGGAAGCATCCTCCGGAAGTACAGATTCAATTTTGTTCAAATCATGACCCCCAAGAATAGAGTGGAGCCACGATGGAAGATCAAAAATTTTACATTAAGATACAAGGGAAAAAATCTAAAAATCTTCTTCTCAAGAAGCTTAAACATGTTTATATGGGAGCATCATCAGGTAGTGTAGATTCAAAGTTAAAACATGACCTCTATGAGTAGGGTGGGGCCATAATGGATGATCAATGTTTTATAAAGAAATACAAAGAAAAAATCTTTAAACATTTTTTTTCTCAATATCAAATGCATGATTGGTCTTGATGATATAAAAGCTTTTTAAGATAGTGTAGATTCAAGTTTATTCAAATCATGATCCCTGGGAATAGGGTGGGGCCAAAACAGTGATATTTTTTATTCAAAGGAATATATTGGAAAATATCCTAAATATCCTAATGTGATGCCAAATAGACTCAGGTGAGCATTGTGGTCATAGGTATCTTGTAATTATATGGGTTCTTTCCTCTTCAGCACTTCTCAAAGGGATTCTTATATAGAATACATTGATAAACAACAAATACGGTCCTTAAAAGTAAACATTGGGTGAAGTGGATAAAAAGAGTTGTTCCTATGAATTTTCAGCCATCTAAGGGAAAGATGAACGATTTTTACCATTTCGTCTGTAGAAAATAAAGGTATAAAATTACTTCAATATCCTTGAAGAGTCACAACGGTGTTTATTCTTTTACAAGGATAGAATCCGGTACCTATCACTTCTTATGTTTGAATATACAAGTCTTTTGAGATATTTTTAATTTTTGTTCTTGATAATATTATACATTTATTGGTTGCGCAACCATAGTTTAATGGAATCCGAGAACTAAATTGTTTCCTGAAGCCGTTAGGTCGAAGTTAACAATTTGGTCCGATGCAAGGAACGACAACCCATATTCTACCAGAGAACCCAGACCATAAATGTGTTGCTATACCTTTTACGTAACTGTTGAATACCAAAGAATGCAGATTAGATATATAGCTTGTTGACTTGTGTCGGATTATCCAGCCTAAGCCGAAGATTAACAAATACAAATCCAATGTGACGTAAAAAGTCATAATTGTCCAATATTTCACCGACCTGTTCGACATTATATTTTTAACACATTAATCAAAAACTGGAAATGATAAACTTTAATAAAATATAGATTTATGTGGAAAACACTTTTCGAACTTTACAATATTATTTACATAAAGAATACGTTTTAAGAAATGGGAAATTGCATAGCACTAGGTTAAATTACTCAAGCCTCCCTAAGATAAAACACATTATCCTGAATAATATGAATTTCTAAAATAAAAACACTGACTGGTAGAGCATTTCTCAATTTGATTACTTAAGTAATACTTTGACAATACTCTATCATGCTCGATGTAGCACGAAATGAAACACTTACTTTTATTATTTTTCTTTCTTATTCTGAACTGATTGAATAAATGATTGATAAACAATGATATTTAATGGAAAATTACCAAGCTTTATACTCGATGATGAATGTGGGCTGAGAGATATACAGACTTTAACATGGATACGTTTTTCGTATGTTGCAAAGCATAGTCAGTCATTCACATGATAATGGTTTAACATAGAGAATTCATCATTTATATAGTGATTATTGCAATGTTCTGTTTATGCTGTGTAGAAGTCTTTAATCACAATGAAAAGAGACTAACATCTTCTCAAAAGTCTCAACACAGTATTTGTTGTCAGGTGAAAAGGTAGGTGGCCATTAGAAGTCCCCACTTGTTAAAACAGCCTTAAACTCTGTTAAAATAGATTAAGGGACAGGTATTAAGTGTGTTGCCATGATAACACAATATATAAAACATTCAATGTACAATACATAACACATAGAATAAGAAACAAATCTGTCTACCATCAAAGCTGATGACACCATCGCCATTTTTATCAGCTTCCCGAATCATGGCCTCTGCCTCTTCCTCTGGCATTTCACATCCCATAGAGCGAAGCACTTTTTTTAGTTCTTTCTTCGTAATGGATCCATCGCCATCCAAATCAAATTCATTAAATTTAGCAAGTAACATTTCATCTTCATAGTCAATCTCAACACTCTGTCCAGCTAACATTTTCTCCAGCTCAGGAAAGGTGATATAACCATCAGCTAAAGATGCAGAAAAACAAAAAAATATGTTTGATAATAACGAATAGTGATCATTCTTAAAAGTCAATTTAAACAATATAAATTATGAGCAAGGACCTCTGAAAACAGAGGTGGGATCAGGTGCATGGAGGAGTAAGCATCCCCTGTCGACCTGTCACACATCTGCCGTGTGTTCCTTGTCTTGATCGGGTGAACGGGAAAATCCGTTGATAATTCGGGGTGAAAATGATGACCAAACAGTTTGCATGATTTCATCAATTGACTTAACGACGGATGAAATTTGCAAACAAGGTCATTTTTACCATAAAATTTACGAATTGCTGCCTTTAGATGAGGTTCATAATATCCTTGTATCATCAACTGATTCGTCAAAACATGCCTTGATGTAGAAATTGTTCAATGTAGGAAATACTCTTGCGCATCGAATCAACCTGGAGACATTAAATCTTATATGCAGGATGTAATGTTACATTGCTAATAAATAAGTGAAGCCGACAATAGAAAAGTTGAAGTCATCAAGTTTAACATAAAGTTTAGTTATCAGTTCGCCATCAAAGTTTTTTCTCGGAAAAAATCAAATATGAAACAGGTGTTTCAAACTCTGTGGTGTCTTTTATTTCGATTTCAATTGGAATATTAAATCAACTTAGGAATTAAACTGAGTATTGTTAATTGTTGAAACGTTTTCGAAATATCTTTATATCAAACTGAAGGCACATTAAGAGAACTTTGTTTCATATAGGAGTTTTATGAATAAATTCTGCTTCATATGAATAAAATAATCATTCTCATCATTTAGACGTGAAAAGTTTAAGGAAACCTGTAAGTAAATTATTACTGCTAATTATTAAGTCTTACAATCAGTGTGGATCGTTCGGAGTACTTTTTCTATATCCTTGAGTGTTTTATTGCTTCCAGTCCTTCTGGATGCTCGAGCTAGCTCATGCTTTGAAACCTTTCCATCCCCATTCTCATCAAAAGCTTTAAATATTTTCAGCAATTCTACAATGAATGAAAATTTTTCTGTCGTGAACTACATATCATGTAGAATTTTGAAGTGCTCTTAAAACTAAAATAGAATGCATGAGTTAATTAATTCATTCTTCATCTTTATAATTCCTCTTCTAATAAGAATTACAATCCATATCCTACTCAATAACAGATCTTTGGTATCAGTACTATCTAACATTTCTGATATAAATGATGTACTCCATATCAAGGATTATAAATAAATAAATAAATAAATAAATATATAAATATATATATATATATATATATATATATATATATATATATATATATATATATATATATATATATATATATATATATATATATATATATATATATATACACACACACACACACACACACTACATATCAAGTTTTCAATCAAAGTGTTTTCTGAGACGTATAATGTATCTGATGTTATATACATCAGGAAAATATGTACAGAGAATATAAATATATGTCAGATTCTCAGGAACATCGTAAGAACATTTTATCTCACCCGCAATACTTAGAGAGACATTCTTATATTCAATCATGTTTTAATATTCTGTTGTTTTTTTAAATACCAAATTCATATTCTTTTCATTTTTATTCAAATAAAAATCTGCATAATATAGATATATTAGATATTTTTATATGTTTTAATCCATTAAAATATAATTTTAGTTATTTGTACTAAAGCACTTTAGAATAATTGTTTTTATTACGAGAGGTATTTCATAAATCTCTTGTGTAGTAACTTTGGGAAATAACAAGATTTGTAATCTTTAATATTAATTATTATTCAGGCACAAACGTAAAATCCAAGATAAAACACTTTAAATTTGATTTGTATCATTCAATTGAAATAAACCTGAACAAACATAACACAATTCAAAACAAAACAACGTAATGAATATTAGATATCTCACATTTTAAACAAAATTAATACGAATAAAATCGAAAGAAACAACAAATAAATCAAAAAGAAAGAAAATAATTATACCCCCGTACCATCACATTTCACGCAACAAATTTACTAACTGTGCACTTAAATATTTTAGAACTTTTACGCCCACCAGTTTCATCAAAAAATCACACTTTGCAATTTAATTTAATTTAGTAATTTGTCATTTCTGCATCGTTTTTTTATATAATTTTGAAATAAGGTTTCAATGAAATCATCATTAAAAGCAATAAATAAAGTACCTGCTCTCTTTTCTTTAGGCAAACGATTTTGCTTTACTGAAACTCCAATTTCCATGCTCTGTCTTCTGCTTCTCTCTTCTCTTTAAAATCTCCTTAATTCAAAAACAAAACAACAATAAATATCAAGGTTAAACATAAAAGTTTAAATTGCTTTTCAAACGACTTATTTCGTATACATTTCATATACAAATCTGTATGGCCATTCGATGGTTGTCATTATAAGGGTGGTCACAAAATTACGTTCCAAATCACTCAGTCTAAATGACGCATTAAAAAACTTATACCATTATCTAAAGATTATGGATTGAGATCGGATGTACTGATAAAAATGCAAATCCGTATTTATCAATAAAAAACAAATGAATCGATGGACTTGGCATTTAATTCTTGTCGCCTTCTTAAAAAACAGCCTGACATTTTGACTGGCATTTAATGTAGAAGCTAAGGTTTTTATTAACGCTTCGTAAAACCAATTGAAACCGCCAATATTATGTCTTATTTACTTAATGTATATTAAAAAGCCCTGTTTTCTTCGTTTTACACAACCAGAGATTAGATAAGATTTGTTCATTTGTAAGGTAATTTATTTTAGTCCCTGTAAGTAAACTAATGAAGAATCTTCAGATGAAAGTATTTAAAAAACAGAATTGTACATAATTTTAGAACTAAATACCTATTGTAATTATATATTTTGTGCACATATTCACTGGTCTTAATCAAATGACGTGGTCAGATGTGGATTTACTACGTATACTTATTTCAAATTATCCTCGACAGGTTGCAAAGTATTTGTATTTTTCATTTATGCGGAGACAGTCCGTTATGTTCAGAAAATAAGAATGTATTTCAGTGTCATATTTATCTACCAATAACTCTTATAACAGACACTACCAATCTTAGCATACAAAATACATATATATGTATATATATCACAGTTATGTTTATTTACTTTTTTGTTTATCTCTTAACGTTGTGCTCTTTATTTTCTTTATATATTGTATTTCAATTTTGTGTTTAAAGTGGCATATAGACCCGATGGGCCGGGTGTTGATTGTTATTTTATACAGTTTGTAAACAAAGGATTTAATTATGTACACATGTCACTACAAATAAATAAATTACTTACTTACTATTCAACAATTTCTAAGAATATTTTTCCAATGGTTGACATAAAGAAAAGGAAGTATTCAATAAATGTTTTATTATAAAATAAATATTTTACTAATAATTCGAAAGTAGAGTGGTGAAAATTTTGTTAATACACATTTTTGCAAGTGCCATAAATATTTCAGAGTTGATGACATTGACAGTTTTTTTTTTACCGGATACACTGAAGTTCCAAAGGACATCATTCTTTATAACACAATGTGTCTTTCAGCACGTAGCTCAAAAAAGTTAAGAATTCCAAACATGTATTTCCTCTCTAGATCATTTTCATTAAAATTAGCTTTGTTCTTTTCATGTCCTTGGCATAATAAACAAGGTTTATTAAGTTTAATATCAGTTGCAGTCTTTTTCATTTATGAAATCTATGTTTATGTGCCGCCATGCATTATTCAAACCTCTATTAACCTTTAAAATCAAATAAAAGCCAATTGAGTTTATCATTTTTCAGTGCTGGTATACGAAACCATAAACAAATACAATGATGTCTTTTCATTTGGTGTTCTCTTGATTCATCTTATACTAAGTCTTTGCACTCCTTTGGAATGCATTTCCTTTCTTAGAACTTGACACCTTTGTTGAAATATTATCAAACCCTTGAAAATTTAGCACACACCTACGTGTATAATTTCACCATATAAAGTAATCGTAAATTGTTAATAACATAAACATTGTCTCATATGATATACTGATGATACTTTGGTCTTCAGATGAGTTAAAAAAAATACAATAGTAAAGTATAGTTTACTATAAGTAATTATGGTTTGATTAATTAACTCAAGTAAATCAAAGTGTCAAAGTCATAATTAATTAAAAGTAAATCAAATTTTTAAAAAGTTATCACTTTAGTGTCATAGTAAACACTAAGTTTTCACAGTTAACACTTTAGTGTCATAGTTACCATTATATTTAATCAAAGTGTCATAGTAATCTCTAAAATTAATCAAAGTATTCAAAGTGATAACAATATCAACATTCAAAGTGTCATCTTATCCCTAGAGTAAATCGGTTTTGTGGGATAGAAGTCATATATAATTTTAAAACCAGTATATTTACTAGTAATGCAGACTTTTTTGTCCTTGATGAAAAATAGCTGGCTGTTAATGTCATGCATTTACAATATGAAAATTCCATACACTTTCTATTGAATACCTTTCATTTAAAATCTTATTCTTAAAACTAAAACAAAATTTTTCAATAATCAGTAATGGCAAGATAATTCTAAATTAATAAATTAGATCAGTCTCTCCTTTCACTTTTTAAAAATATTAAATCTTTTAATGAAGAAAATTAAAGACCCACTTATGTTTTATTTTATTAGTATGGTACATTAGAAAGTGGTCACTGTTTCACAATACAAATGCCATTAGGTATTTCAAACTAGACGTGTAGAGTTAATACCTTATACAGAACGATATAAAGTAAATCTGACCTGTATAAACCAAAGTGTCAAAGTTAACATTACAGTAAATCAAAGTTTTCATAGATATCACTTTAGTAAGTAAAAAGTTTCAAAGTTATAACTAAAGTAAATCAAAGTGTCAAAGTCATCATTATATTTAACTATAGTTTCCATGGAGTCAAAGTTATCACGATAATTAACTATAGTTTACGATAGTTATCTTAAGTATACTAAAGTATTTTTGTTAGGGAAATTTGATTTTCTGTTTGAAAATGTATTTTGAACCTCTGTTTGATTTTCAGAAATTTTACCTAATGATTTAATACCAAACTAGCAGTGTGAACCATGTCCTTTAAGTATGTTTCACAGGCACTTGGGGTCTGGACCCCCCCCCCCCCCCTTTTCCATTTTTTTTTCTTTTTAAATATGGAGTCGATTCACCTTTTTCCTATTTTTGTATTCTAATATGCACTATATGTTATCAATAATGTAACTCTTTTGTCTCTATATGCTGTTTTTAAATATACCGTTTTCGACTGATACATAAAAAGAGAGAAGGCTTGCAACTCTTTTCTCGTCGTCTGCCTCACCTCGCTTAAACTTCGCCTGATTATTTATCTAAAGCATAAGAATACATGGAATATGCATACATCAATAAATTTGTTACACATTCTTCTTCCTTCTCATATTTCCATTTAATTTTTATGTGCCCCCGATTTGTAAATATTTCGATTAAATCAACCGCATCTAGGGTTAATTTTGTTGATGTGCATTAGCTGGGACGGAAGTGTCCGGTATTTTCGGGCGTCATCATTATGTGTAATGTCATTCGGAACATTAAATGAAAGAGGGAAAAAAATCCCGAATTTTCTCTTCATAATACATGTAACGGTAAGTTCTGTATATAACAAGATAACTCTAACTAGCAGATTCTAATGGATGAAGATTAACATTAAACATACGATCTAGACAACCAAATTTCTCAATATTTTTATTACAAAGCTTTGAATTTTTATTTATATACAGAACATTTGTAAAGTTAGAGTTACCGTTATTGCACTTCCGTCCCAGCTAGTGCACATCAACAAAATTAACCCTAGATGCGGTTGATTTAATCGAAATATTTACAAATCGGGGGCACATAAAAATTAAATGGAAATATGAGAAGGAAGAAGAATGTGTAACAAATTTATTGATGTATGCATATTCCATGTATTCTTATGCTTTAGATAAATAATCAGGCGAAGTTTAAGCGAGGTGAGGCAGACGACGAGAAAAGAGTTGCAAGCCTTCTCTCTTTTTATGTATCAGTCGAAAACGGTATATTTAAAAACAGCATATAGAGACAAAAGAGTTACATTATTGATAACATATAGTGCATATTAGAATACAAAAATAGGAAAAAGGTGAATCGACTCCATATTTAAAAAGAAAAAAAAAATGGAAAAGGGGGGGGGGTCCAGACCCCAAGTGCCTGTGGTATGTTTTAGAGGTCTTCAAACGGAAAAAAGTAGACCGTACATGTATATTTTACTTTATATTCATTTTTTTGATTTTTCAATTTCTTCCCTACGATAACCAAAGGACCAAGCAAAATTTTTCACAATGATGGGACCAGTCCAATAGGTATGGGACAATGATTTTTTTCATCGAAAAAAAAAACAACAACAAAAAACCATGGGACAAAAACTTTTTTTTAGCATTAAGTACCCATGGGACACAAACTTTTTAAGAATGAGTTACAGTTCTTATTTATAATATTTAAAAATATTTTATATTTTATTTTTTCCAAAAAAGTCATATCTTTTAAAGTCAAAGGAAGGATACAAATTGCAACATAAATCTTCATATTAATGGGAAAATTAACGAAGTAACAATGTTAATAAACGTTATGAATATAATAAACAAGCAAATCATTTCAATAAATCTCATGCATTCAAAATATTCTACTAAAAAATTCTAGAGCATCATCAGAATCAATCATGTACTTTATACACGAATGGTGTACGTCTCAAGTTTAATCAATTCAGAAAACTTTCATCGTTTATTCAATCCAAAAAACTTTCATCGATGTTTGAAATATCTGTAATCTGAAAGACTCCTTCAGTAACTAAAATTGTTATCAATGCACTTCTTGTTATTTTTGTTCTAAAAATCTCATGAACATCTAGATATAACCATGGGACGGTAACTTTTTTTTACAAGCCTAAAGGCATGGGACAAATATTTTTTTTTTAAATTTGAATGCCATGGGACATGTAATTTTTTTTATTGAGAATTTTGTTTTGTACCGGACCCATCATTGTGATAAATTTTGCCTTCCCTTATAAGTGTCTGCAGAAGAAGTTTAAAAAACCTCAACCCATTAGTATGAGTCAAGAACTTTTTGAGAAGAACATTGGTTCCGTCCATGAACAATTTTAAATAAACCATGAATTTTTCTTTTACTAGTACTCCCTTAAGTTAAGGGATCAGGTTCAATTCTCTTTCATCCATTTTATTTTAAGACATGTAGACACAGGTAC